AATGTAATGAGGGAATTGTGTGTGCGGTATTGCCTCGATCTCCCCTAAGCGCTATTTTCTTCATAACAATTTTTTCTATTTTCATTTTATTTCAGAGCATCATGGGCCACAAAAAATTACCTCGGGGGCTGCCCGTTAGACCCCCCTGCTGTAAAGAATTGCTGTCTCAGAAACCCCCAGGTGCAGTTCTACTCTGTCCTACAGGGCCACTGAGAGTCAGAAAGACTTGATGGCAGTGAGTTCTTGGTAGCAAGAACAGATTTCCAGTTACAAGTCATAATTGGCCTTCTGCTGCTTTTGGCAAAGTGGAAGTTCAAAGAAAGGGTCAGAGGTGGAAATGGAAACATGACGTCACCTGCACCCCTGATGGTAGCTGTCAAATAAGCAACACTCCTGGACTTTGATAGGGAAACACCTAATTGAGAAACACAAGGGCGAGAGGAACGGTTCTAGTGCTGGATGCCCTGCAATAGGGGGCGCACTCAGACCATATTAATCTCTGCAGGCAACTCAGAAAACCAGTGGGAAACGTGTCCCTTTCCCTTTGCAGAGATGGGAAGAAAGCAGGTTGGACGAAGCCCAGTGGGTGACATCACCAGCGAGTAAATCAGAGTGGTTTAGGCTGCGGTCAGCCTGTTCTGTGGGTGGAAGGGGTGGTGGTCTGGGGATGCTTACAGAAGGGAGTCTGTTGCCCCAAGCTGAGGGTGGGCCAAAGATCAGGAATGTGGGGGAAGGTGAGATGCTTCATCAAAGTTTGATAAAGAAGCGTTTTGTTTCCGATTAATCAGTGAGGATGAGCAATCCCATTATTACGTGGAAGGAGTTGAAACCTGGGGTTTTGGTGTCTGGCCTTGAATAGGTAAAGCCTTCGTCCTCGAATCTGATCTGAGTCTTGTGGAAAGGGTAGTGATGTAGTAAGCTCTTTCCTGGAGGTGGAGCCTTGGTGGTATAGAGGGTTGTGCCTTTGGGCTGCTAACTACAAGGTCAGCAGTTCAAAACCAGCAGCCACTCTGAGGGGGAAAAAATCGCCTTACAATACCAGGGAAGACTGACAGTCCTGGGACTCCACAGGGGCAGTTCTACTTTGCCCTATAGGGTTGCTGTGGAGGGTGTCCACTCGATCCATTGCAGTGAGTCTGGCTATGTTTTACCTTTTCCTGAACAAAACGGTGGGGAGAGTTCTCTAACCATTGCTCTTTTTCAGCATCGCGGAATGCCAGTAGAAGGCGCCCTGGGCCCCTTCCTCTGCGCTTGCAGAGCTGTCCTGGAGGGCAGAAGGCCTCCCTTGGGCCCGCTGACTAACTCTTTGTTTGGGCAGTGAACGGCACCACGGGAGAAGGGCTGTCCCTGAGCATCGCAGAGCGCCGCCGGGTTGCTGAGGAGTGGGTGACCAGAGGGAGGAACAAGTGAGTAGCTCAACCAGGGTCAAAGCCACTCGCCAGAGCTGTGCTCCAGGAGCCTGTCCCCAGCAGCACGCCTCTGCCTCCGGTCAGGGGCCAGCTCAATGACAGCTTGTGGGAAGAAGAGCAGACTCCATGTGGTGTGGGCAGGGGTGGGGGTGTGCAGGGGGGGTGTGGATTCGTGGAGTGGCTGGAGGGGAGGTTGGAGATCAGGGCAGTTACTAGCATTTCTTTTTTTTTTTTAATCATTTTATTAGGGGCGCATACAACTCTTATCACAATCCATACATACATCCA